AGGACAGCAGGAGTCTAATATCCAATTGAATACAGATCTTAACATAATCTTATCATCTCAATGGCTTGCTGGTATCACCTTTCAACCAAAAATGCCATGCATCATTTCTACTTGGCTATGGCTCTCAGCAACACCTTCCTTTTATTTTGTAAAAATCTACATGGTCTGATCCTATACTCAATTTCTTCAACATCATTTCATATCATTTTGCTCCTTTATTACCACATTGGAAACATAAGATGTGTAAGATAGTTATCTATAAAATGGCTATCTTTGTTACAGATTATATATATATATCCAGAAGTGTATTTTGTCTTATATTAATGTAGCTATTCTACCTTTATTCTAATTTGGTATATGCCTAGTATGTATTTTTTACCTATTTCTTCTTTATATTTAAAGTATATGTCTTATAATAGGCACACCGTGGGGTCCTGCTTTTCTTTTTTTTTTCTTTTCTTTCAGGATGACAATCTCTTTCTTTTAATTGGAGCAGTTAGAACATTTACATTTAATGGATTGCTTGGTGAAGTTGTTTTAACTTATCATCTTAGTATTTGTTTTCTATTTGTCTTTTTTTCTCTCTGCTCTTCCTCTCTTTCTGTTTTCTCTTTCAAGGAATTAGCTATTTTCAAATATTTCATGTTATCTTCCTTGTTGTGTGTTAGCTACACTTCATTTGGTTTTTAATGGCTCCTTTGGGGTTTGCTCTTTGTATTTTTAACTTATCACAGTTAAACTTTGTGTTAGTTGGCTTTTAGTTGCTGTGTAAAATGCCTGACACAAACAACTTGGAGGAGGAAAATTTATTTTGGCCCATCGTCATTTCAGAGATTGGAGTCCTTGATCAGTCAGCTCCATTGCTCTGAGCCTGAGGTGAGGTAGAACATCAAGGCAGAAGGGTAAATCTGCTCTGCTTGTGGGAACAAGAATGGGTGGTGGTGGGGGACCAGAGAGAAAAGATAAACTCTTCCAGGTCACATCCCTAGTGACCTACTTCCTTGAATTAGGTCCCACCCATCTCCTGGTAGCTATTCAGCCATGAATGCATTAATCCACTGAAGAGGGCAGAACCTTCATGATCCAATCATTTCCCCAAAGCTCCACCTCTGCACAGGTGAGATTTTGGGGGACATTCCAGGTCCAAAGCATAACAAACTATAAATATATAAACTATAAACTATAAACTATCTTACCACTTCGTGCTTAGAAACTTGTAATAATGTACTTTCTTATCCTATTATTTTTGACATAAACTGTGTTCTTTACATATGCCATAAGTACCATAATATGTTTTTTTTAAAGATTTTTTTTAGATGTTGATGGACTTTTATTTTATTCATTTATTTATATGTGGTACTGAGAATCGAACCCAGTGCCTCACAAATGCTAGGCAAGCACTCTGCCACTGAGCCAAAACCCTGGCCCCCTGGTTTTATTTTTTAATAAATAATTACATAAGGGGCTGGGGTTGTGGCTCAGTGGTAGAGCCTAGCATTTGTGAGGCACTGGGTTCAATTCTCAGCACCACATATAAATAAATGAATAAAATAAAGGTCTATCAACATCTGAAAAAGATTTAAAGAAATAATTATACAAACATGTAATTATTAAAAAATAATAAGAGTGTTTTATATTAACTTAATATTTATCATTTCCAATGCCCTTTATTCCTTTAATTTGAGATACTTCCTATTGCTTTTCTCAAAATATTTATTTTCTTTTCTTTTAATTTTTTTTTTTTTAGTTATAGATGGGCACAATAGTTTATTTACTTATTTATTTTTATGTGGTGCTGAGGATTGAACCCAGAGCCTCATACCTGGGAGACAAGTGCTTTACCACTGAGCTACAGCCTCAGCCCCTTTATGTTCATTTTGGATGGATATTTTTACTGGGTATAGAATTCCAGGCTGGCTTTTTTTTTTTTTTTAATTCCTCAGGACTTCAAAGATTTATTATGTTGTCTTCTAGCTTTAATTGTTTCTGATAGGAAGTTTGACATTCTTATCTTTATTCTCCTGTGTGTGATATATTTTTTCCATTGGTGACTTTTTATGATTTCCTTTTTTTCACTTGTTTATATCACTTTGATAATGATGTGGCTTGATGTGGTTTTCTTATTGAAAAAATAATAAAACTTCTGCTTGAAGTTTTTTTTCTTGATCTCTAGGTTTCTTGCTTTCAAGTTTTGAAAATTTCTGATCACCATTTCTACAAATAATTTTTCCCTTCTCTGGTATTTCAGTATACATATGTTACACTACTGATATAATGTTATAGTCACTGAAACCCCTTTGTTTGATTTTGGATAGTTCACACTGATCTGTCCTCAAGTTTACTGACTTTATTTAAATAGTGTTCAACCTTTAATCTTTGATAACTTTATCCACTGAATTTTCCATTTGAGATATATTTTTTTCACGACAGAAGTTTCATTTAGTTATTTATTTTACTATCTTCCACTCTTCATTATGTCTACATCTTCCCCTAAATTCTTTGGCATACTTATAATAGCTGTTTTCAATATTCTTGTTTATTAATTTCATCATCTCTGTCATTTCTGTATCAATTTCTATTGACTTATTTTCCTTCTAATTATCAGTCACATTTTTTTCTGCTACTTATCATGTGTGGTATTTTTGATTGGGTGCTGGACATTGTGACCCTTACATTGTTGAATGTCTATAGAGTTTATTGTTCTATATTTGTATAGAATTAAGGTAATTAAATTAATTAAAGACCAGCTTTCTTTTTTTGACCTTACTTAAAGCTTTTAAAGGACTAGTCTAGAGTAATTTCTATTCTACTTAGAGCTAAATTAAGTAGCTCTGGAATCTCTGCTGAATGAACCAGTCTCTCCATTTTAGCCAGTTAGACCTTGAACTCCTTTTAGTATTGTGTAATTTGCAAAAGGTGTTTTCAACTACAGCTCCTAGTTGTTCCTTGTTTGGCCTTGTGGATTTTCATTTTGTGTATTAATAGCATATTCTTCAGTGAAAAGTTCAGAAAGTCTCCTACACATATTTTACCAAATTGTACCTCTTTGGTCCTCCACTCTATAAATTCTGGGTGACTATGGTTCATCAAACTCTTTTCTTTTCCTTTTCCATTTAGGGTTATTTCCAGATTCAACTTTGGTACCTCTTCCTTGTGCTGAAGTTCAGAAAATGCCCCCCCACCCCCCTGTAGTAATCTGGGATGAAAAAAATCCAAGATGACATATTGGCATGTGGCAGAGCCCACATTCAAGCCTAAGTCTCCGAGTCTCTAGAGCCCGTGTTCTCTTTCCTAGGGATGTTGCAGAGCAAGTCACCCTGGTTTTCTGGGCTGCAGGATTCAGAGGCCACATAAGTGAAATGCCTTTCAATCTGAATAAAAATGACTGTGAATTAACCAAGGCTCACTGGCCAAAGCAGATGAAAGAACTGAGTTTGTAGACAATCAGTAAGGGAGAAAAAAATAGTAGAAGGAGTATGAACATACATGATCATTGCACCAGATTACTTTTCAGTTTTATAATTGTTTTTGTTTTATATTGTTTTGGTTTTTTTGTTTGTTTTTACCTTGACTGATAGGTAGCAATAGTACATTAATCTGGCAGGTTGTCAAAAGTGGTGCTATAGATGTTAGCTTGGCAGATCAAAACATTTTCATCCAAAACTGTTTCTTCCCAAAGCATATAATACAAAGATCCTTCTTTGATGTTCACTAACAATATGTAGATTCTACTAGAAATCATTAATTTTATTTCTCTATAGTTCCTTTTGCTTTCTATTTTTAGAGTGGCTGACCAAACTAATAAAAACGGCAATAAGTCAGGCATCCCTGGTTGGAAAATTCTAAAAATAGCAAAAACAGCTGTGCTCAAGTTTGCTCTTGTTCTATTTGTGAAGGATTTGTCAAGCAGGTAGAAGTATCCATTCTTTTAATTGGATGTACTTATTTCAGATGATGTTTATCTATTCCTTAAAACCATTACTCAAATGATTTCTACTTGAAAATTTCACTGAAAGCAAACTATGAAGGTATAATTTTGTAATATTCTTGCATGAAGAGTTTTCACTAGGTCATATTGGCCTTCCTCCCTGTTCACATCATGTTCTAGTGCTTGGTTATATTTAGAGACTTGCAGAATTGATTTTTACTTGCATTATAGCATAGCTCATCTCCAACTGCTGTCACCTCCCAGACAAAACTTATTTCTTCTATAGGAGGAAGCTGGTTTCCTAAAGGGTACCATGAGCTTTCAGAGTTTTGTTTTATTAGCTGTTGCTGCAAGTACCACATGGGTAGAGGCTGGGAGTGTTCTACCTCAGCAGAGGCTGTCCCCTGCTCCCCATTTCTGCCCTGCTACAATTACTTTATTCAGTGTCACAGTAGGACTCACCTACTGTTGTTGATGAATGACAAGCTTTTCAGGACTTTACTGTTAGGAATTTTAAAGGGATCTGAGTAAGAGAGATTTATTTGACTTTTCAAACTACTTAGCAAAGACAACAAGTTTGTAAACAGATACCTGAACATCCAAAGTTAAACTTGTTATCAGAAACAATTGGGCAAGATATTTAAAAAGAAAAAAAAGTAGAGATCAGTGCAAATATTAACATTGGTTTCTCCTTGCAAACTCTGGAGAAATTATTGAGGGAACACTTTCTAAATGTAGTTGCCTATGCTCAAGGTCACATCATACATATCTGGCAACTATGCTCGTGCTTTCAGATCTCTTGGGTTTTACCTCTGTAAGGACTCTCAAATTGTGGTGAAATTGAATGTGGAGCTTTTATGGATGAATACTAATTTAAGCAATGTTGTATGTGATGAACTGTTATCTAGCAGGATGGTGATCAGTTGTCTATTGCTGCATAACAAACCATTCCAAAAAGTTGTGCTTTAAGACAACGATTTATTATTTCTCATGATTCTATAGTACACTGGGGTGGTCCTTTTGTGCTCCAAGTGGTTTGATTGAGGATCCCTTGTGTGCTTGTGTCTTTTAGGTTCTGGACTTCTTCACAGCAAAGAAGAGAAAGAAGTTAGCAGCTACCAAGCATAAGATAGGTCTGCAAATGGCACATTTCTTCCACTGAAGTCTGTTGATTAGATTAAGTCACATGGCCAGTTCAGGATTCAAAGGGAGAGGAACTAGACTCCATCTCTAGATAGGAAGAGCAACACCTGCACAGACTATGGAGAGAGGCCATCTTTGGAAGCTATCTAACATATACACCATCCCTCCTAGTGTCTCCCCATTGTCCTTCAATAATTACTAGTACCTTCCTGTACTCTGACAATAGTCTTTGTGTGTATTATAAATTATATGGTTGCACTACCCATAAAATACCTTCTAATATGCCACATTACAAATTTTAACTAGTAAGACTGTTGTACCATGGAGTGAGGCCAAGACTCCCTCTTGGTTTAATATCTAGCAAGGTTTTTTCCTCAAACAAGCACAATAATGGTTTTGCAAGTCAGTCTTTGTATTTCTGGGTCAGCTGCTTGCTGTATGGCATTTGTGAAGAGGACTTTGTATCTGTGCAGCCTAGACAGAAAAAGATAATGATCCTCTCTTCTCTATCTCTCTGAGGCATTTTAAGTTATTTATATCAAAAATTTCCTAGCAGCAGACAGACACAGCAGAACTGGAGCACAGCACACTTTGTGATTGTGTAGGTTTTAGCTATGTTCAAATCACCTGCAACATAACTAAAGGATAAAGATTTAAGGAAGTTCTCTGGGCTGGGCACATGTAAAACTGTGACCAAGTAGACCAAGACTGTGTTAATATCTTAGTCTCTCCATCTCCTCTTTGTCAATCTTCTAGGCCCTTTGACTGTATCCCTGTACATAGTACTTGTTTGTCATCCCTCACTTGTTGTGAAATTTTGTACAAAGATTACCCAGGTATGATGTATCAGTCTCTTCCCAGGCACCTGATACAGCCTCATCCTCTCCTGATAAATGGCAACCTTTGCTCAATATGTCTACTGTCCTTAATTTGGGAATAGATGAACACTTCAATATTTAAGATGGAAATGTCTGTAAATGTGTTCTGTCTTCAAGGCACATGGTTCTAATTTTGATAGTAGATTTCTTCTGATGAGTGCTAATGTTCCTTAATGTTCCTCATTAACCTGTAATTCAAGGGCAATTTCTTAGCATTGATTACTACTTTCTTAAGGGCTAGGGGTGTGGCTCAGTGGTAAAACATTTGCCTCACATGTGTGAGGCACTGGATTTAATTCTCAGCACCGCATATAAATAAATGAATGAAATAAAGGTCCATCAACAACTAAAAATATATATTTAAAAAAATACCTTCTTAAACTCTTTCTTCTCCATTACTCTGTAAGAACGCAGGTCTTCTTCCTATCAGTGAGTGTCCTCTGTGCCTCCCTACATTCCTTGGTCTCTCTCATTTCACTGTCTCAATCTGCTTTTTCCTCTCCTTCACCTTTAGGTACCCTACACCCTATAATCCTGCCTGAAAACCTTTAGTAGGAAGCCATATCCCCACCTTTAGAAGGGGTCTAGAATTAACTTTATTGTCTTAATGTGGGTAGCTGCTGTTAACCCATATGTTTAGCCTCCACTCAGGTTTATATTATAGAGAAGTGCAGTTTGTGGACTGTCTGGTATCAGTCTGTAAAATATTTGTAGCTGGATCTTGAGGAGAGAAGTATAGACATTGAAAGTCAATATGCCTCTATCTGGCATTTCTTCAGGCTCTGGAATTTATTGCCACAAGACCAAATCTCTTCTACTTGCTCTTCATATTGAAGAACTTAATGCAATGATGTATATGTGTTTAAAAATGAAACAAATGTTAACTATCTAGAATGGAGAATTCAAAATGACATGATCAATGGTACTGATAGATTATATTATTTATTCCTAGTTATTTGATTCCTCCCCTTCATTGTGATGCATTGTTGAAGGCATGATAAATTCCTTACCCCTCTAACCTAGAATTTGGCCATATGACTCACTTTGGTCTATGGATATGACTGTCATAAAATCCAAGCTGAAACTTTAAATGTGCTTCTGTGACTTGTCTTTACCTCCCCGTTGATCTTATGCTCTCTCCTATGGGGAAAACATGCTGAAGTAGTGGGTGGTCCTTCATCCTGGGCCTCAGGTAGGCAAGATCTGTCAGGCCAATCAGAATCCCACTGGAGCCCTGAAGAACCTGTGGAGCCAGTAGAACTCAGCAGAACTGTTCTAATCCATAGGCCTCAAGCAACATGGGCAAGAAATCAGTGCCAGTTGTTAAAAGCTACAGATTTTTTTTTTTGTTTTGTGGTTGGTATAACAACAAAAGCTGATTAATATAGGAGGTGGTATCAAGAGTGGGTTTTACCATAACAAAACCTTCAGAGATGTGTCATTGCTTCAGGTATTGAGCAAATTATAATAGGGATCTGGAAAAACAACAACCGCAGTGTGCATTAATGAAACACTTGGCAAAACTATCCTAGGTGGATAGTTTGGTACCCATTGAGTTTGTGGTTTTGTGTCACAGGGCTTTGAGACAGAATGTTGTGGGTGATTATTACCTGCATTTGATCAGAAACTATGAAAATGATAAGCTGAGAAAAGAATTGCCCTGTTTACAATGAGGAATGAAAGGGGAAAGGGAGAACAAAAAAATTCTGGGATTTGCTGATTTAATATATGCTACTGCTTTGCCCCCGCCCCCGATCCCCCAAACAAAAACAAAAACAAAAAACAATTTCTCATTTTAACAAATAACCTGAGGGCAAGGGAATGTAGCCGCTAAAACAGCCTGGGAATAGGACCAAATCAGATCCATGGCTCACACCTCTGGTTCAGATGTTTGATTGGATTAATAACGTGGCTCCCAGTGAATTATTTCAGTTGGACAAAATAGCTTAGAGCAAAAAAGGAGGGCACGGTCCCACTGAGGTCTGACAAGCTAAAGGTTCCTGTAATTAAGGGAGGAAAGTACACCAGAGAGGGAGGTACATGAGTTGAAAATAATTGTGCATGTGGCTATTAACATAGAAGTAGACTAGAATCAAATAGATTAAAAAATAAGCAAACCAAACACTCCAACATTTAAAATAGGCCTATGTTACCAAAAGTGCTTTTAGCATGGACTAACAGACTTCACTGCGATGTAAGATAACTTTGTAGGGACAGGAAGCAGGGTTAGGAAGCTGCTTGACCACCAGGAGATGGTATTTTCCAATGCCCTTTTCCAATATGGCTAAGGATGGAAATAAAAGAGAATGGAACTCCTGCAGAGTGGAGGAAGTAGATGGGGGCAGTGCTCCCAGGGAATGGGAGTGGGCCCTGGAACATTTTCTACCTGCAGTATTTTCTCAGTGAGATTTCAGAATAGCTGTGAACTGGTGCTTTCCATTCCTCTCCTTCTGAACAGAAGTATTCATTGAGGTTTCCTGTTCTTGACTTACTGCTGCATGCTGAATGTGCATATGGAGGTAGGAAAGGGAGCACTGATTTGTCTTTTAAATTCACAGGTCTCCAGATCAAAAGAAGATGCAACCTGATTTAATGGACACTAAGGGATCCTAGGCTTGAAGCCCAAAGAATTGATTGGATGGGACTTTGGTTCTCAGGAAGAAAGCAAATATTTGTGATCAAGAGCATGGTCTTGTACTGTTTGTTTATAATTATTCATGCTTTCCCTGCCCTTGATTTGCTTTCCTCTAGTTGGAATATACTTTCCTACCCTATTGACTTCTGGGTTGGCCCGGTGTTTTTCTGGGCAGGGGAACGTGACTGGACATGATATATGCTTGTCCAAGCAGAAGTTTTAAATATGCCTATATGGTTTGGCTTGTCTCTATCAATCAATGATTTTCTACTTCTTCTATGAGAACCACAGGCCCTAGATCATGGGTGCTCCTTCATCCTGGGTCCTGAAATGTGAAGATATGTGGACTCAATTGGAGCTCAGAGGAGTCCAGAACAGTTTAGAGAGGCCCACTCTTTTCACAGTTCTACCTAAGATCTCAGTGAGCAAAAATAAGTGTTTATTCTTGGAAGGCATTGAGAAGTGGGGGCTATTTGTTATTGCAGTAAAACCTGACTATTGCAAAGGTATTATAAAATAGGAGAAGAAATTATGCATGAAATGGGAAATATTATGCACTAGATTGTGCAAGTGACCAAAATGATGTTGAAATAGAGCATTTATTGCATATAATTTTGGAAAGAAAATAAAGAAATCAAAATAAATGAAAATTCCAGTTTTTACATTTGAGATAATTTTATAATTGAAGAAAGGCAGAAAACATCTTTCAAAGTTAGGCACTGATTTAAGAATGTCAAGAGCAAGCCTGTAGTAATGGCACTAAAGTGGTTGATTAGAGAAAAATGAACATGGCAGTGGAAGTAGATACATTCTTTACGTCACATTATGTGCATATTTTAAATTTGTTACCAGGAGACATGACATCAACTGATAATGATGATATTTTTTGTAACACTTCAAAGATCATGTGCCCTCTTCTCTAGATCTGCCTAAATATGAAACATATAAAATTTGACCTTAAATCTACTCGAAGATGAATAAGAGACTGTTAACTAAATGCTGTTAGAGCAATTAGATTTAACTTACATAAGATAAGAGATTCACCAGTTAAGAAAAATGATAGAAAATTCAAAAGGAGACTGTAGATGTTGGTAGAAAATGAAATTAATTGAATTTGTGCTACACATGGTTATTTGGTATAAACTCTAAGTTGCTGTATAATGTCATAAAAGATTACAAAACACTCAAATAGTTCTAAGCTTGGTTATTTCATTTACAAAAATGGCTTAAAATACTTTTAAGTTATATAGAGAATTTTTTTTATATTTAAAGGAGTCATGTGTGATATATGCAAAAGCAAAATTAAACATAAATAAAAAATATTAAAGCAAAAACAAGGAAAGAAAAACATTTATATGACCACAGAAAAGAAGCAACAAGAAGTAGTCTCAAATGAAAAGAGATTTTTAGTAAATTGAATAGCATAATGCAAAATTTTTGGCTTTTTTCCTTAAATAGTCAAACCCTGAAAAAAATTGAAAGGACATGGGAAATACTGTATCACTCTAGATACTGCTCTAAGAGATAATGAAATCACAATATGAGTGATAATTTATATGATAAACATCCAATACTTCCTAATATTTTCTGAAATGAAGGTAATCTTCATATATGACTCCATTAATGTAAAACTCATGGTGTGTTACTGAATCTAAGTATTGTTTTTTCTACTGACAATTCCACTTCCTATTGCAAAGTCTCTCCAAATTGAAATTAATAAAATGATTATTTCTCAATGGTTTAAGAAAAATTAATAAATTTGATATCACCGAGGACAGAACACAGATTACGTGAAATTTTTTATCATAATGTTATTAGTGACTTTGCTGAAATAGAAGTAAGATAAATAAATTTTATGGATGAATACAAATAATGAGTATTTTATCTCTGTCCCCCTTTTCCTTCCTTTGTCTCTCCAGTGTATGTGTGTGTGTGTGTGTGTGTGTGTATGCATATACATTTAGGTCTATGTGTACACATAATATCCATGTGTATATATATATATATATATATATATATATATATATATGTGTGTGTGTGTGTGTGTGTGTGTGTGTGAATAATATATATATGTAATTTTATTGCTCATTCAAATATTTCTGGCCTATCAATATAAAATTTAGACATGTTCAATAGTAACTGGCTGTTGAATATAAGTATATATATAAATTTTAGCTTATTTTCCACTTGCTTCTCTATTTTTTCATTGTGAAGAAATGCTTGCCAAGGAGAAGACTAGAACATACTGCATTTAAAAGTTTGTGAGTGCCAGGTGTGTGGTCACACGCCTGTAATCCCACAGCTCAGGAGGCTAGGGCAGGAGGATTGTAAGTTCAAAATCAGCCTCAGCAACTTAGTGAGGCTCTAAGCCACTTAGCAAGACTCTATCTCTGAATAAAATACAAAAAAGGGATGGTGTTGTGGATCAATGGCTAAGTACCCCTAGGTTCAAAGAAAAAGATTGTTATTTGATTTATAACTTTTAAATGTTCAGATGTCTGACTTATAAGCTTCCATTTGTACTCTTGTCCTGGTTCCTGGAGATGACAGAGGCACTCTTGGTTAGAGGAACCACTTCTGAGATCTTACTTTGCCCCTTACCAACTATGCCACCTTGAACAAATTACTAAACTTTCCTGAATCTCATTTCCCTTATACATAGATTTATGATAATATCTTACTCACCTGCCTTTTAGGGCTTTTTGAGAATCATCTGAGATGATGATAGCTGGAGTTGATGTTCAAATAGAAAACTGACCTTGAAAACTTCAATTGTCATTACCACTTTGGAAAAGCTCTTATTTTGAAACAAACATCATAGGCTATGTGGTTCAATGTAAACCCGCCTTTTAACATATTCGTGATACTTAAAATTATCTCAGATCTACTAATTTAATTTGATTTGTACAAGAAATAGAAAAGTGAAAGGAGAAGATGAACCAGTTACAAATCAGATAAATAGCTCAAAAATCCCTTAAAAATAAAAACCCTCCAATTTCACACACACACAAAAAAAACATAGAATTTTTCTAATAAACACAATAATGAATAACTGAAACCTTTGGGATGTCCCTGACCCTCCATGATTTTAGAAATAGTCAAGTAATTTATAAAGTCATTATTTTAAAAGTCTGTTCTAACAACTATACATCACATTGTATTATTATAATAGTGATCCTACATGTAGATTCATCTCAATCTTAAAAGTTTTACAATTTTCATAGAATTGCTGCCTACAGAAGAGAGAAAAGCAAACTTCATAGACATAAGATGCCGGATGGTCATTTGAACTCATTCACTATGAAAGGCACATCTTGGGTTTTAGCAAATGGAAAGGGACATGCCCTGGGTCTTTGGAGTCCCTTGTGAACAGCTGAATTTTCTAATGTTAAATCTAGGAAAGATGTGGGCTCCACCATAACCATGTCCATATATATGGACCATAGGGTGTATAAGTAAAAAGACTGGTAAAGTCTTTTAGGTAAAAGAGTCAAAACTTAGACATTCAAATAAAATTTCCACAAAGTTATTTTCTTAGGATACAACTTTTTCTTACTATAATGCAATGCCTCAGATAATTAACTTATAAAGAGAAAATGTTTGTCTCTCAATTTTGGAGGTTCTCACAGACCTATTGCTTTGGGCCTCTGGTGGACCATCCAGATGGCAACAGTGGGGACCATGTGGCTAGGAAACTGCTTACCTCATAGCCAGGAAGCAAAAGAGGAAGAAGAAGGGGATGGGGTTCCATAATCCCTTTGAAGGCACACTCCCAATGACTTAAAAACCTCCCACTAGGCCCCGCCTCCTAACCCTTCTACCACCTCCCAATGGCAGTACTCTGGAGACCAAGCCTTTTACATAGGGACTTTTGAAGGGCATTTAATGTTCAAACTTAGCAGATACAATATCCTTTTCCCTTATTTATCTTTACTTAAATAGAATTTTTTTGGGGAAAATTATTCTAAAATTTCTCTGATATTTTGGAGACAAGAGTTAATTTTTGTTTGTTTTCATTGTTTGAGATGCTCAGGAAAAGTGATTACTATTCCAGCACATTCTCTTTTAATTACAGTTGTTGGGAACAATGGCACTCTCACACCAGTGAATGCCCAACTAGCTCCCCAACAGCACTGCAGGAGCCACTGGGCTGTGGATGCTGTGTGCTCAGTAAGGGGAATCAAGAACATTCCCTCACAGCAGCACCGGCAGATTGGGTTCTGGTGGGAGGTTAATGGGCGATATGTTAAAAAAAAAAAGAGTTTATATTTAAGTAAGTTTAGGAAACTGCTTAAGAAAATCAAATGTGTCTGTTTTTCCATGCCTAGCCTTCTCAGAACATTTACTATGTTAATATACACTGTGTTCTCTGCAGGGAGCTATTCAAAGCTTCTAGCTGATGAACTAGCACACACTTTAAGGAATGATGCTTGTAGCAATACTTCATATTTCCCAGTCAGTCCCTCCCAAAGGAATCGGGTTGTTGGGGGCGGGGGTGGGGAGGGGGGGAAGGGAGTGTAATTTTAAGGCTGCCTCTGAATGTGAAAGAGGTGGAGTAGCCACCAGTGAGCCACACCTGCCTGTCCCTTCCCCTTCTCAAACAAGAACATGAATGGCTCCCCTCCCCCCACCGCTTCCTTTTCTCCCTCCAAGAACAAGAAGCAGGGCACTTGGAACAAACAAAACTGCTTGTGCAAAGAATCCGGCACAGTGGTTCTGAGTTGCTCTAAGGCATATGCCTGAATTAAAGGCGAGGCCACATGAGAGGAAATAAAAAGGTCTGCTCAGAGATCAAATGAAGCATTTGTATAGAACCTTATTCAAAATGGATACAAATGCATCAATTCTTCAGAATTATAGGTGAATCAAAGGAAAATTACATCCAAGGAGATAAAGCAGCAGCCAGCAGTCGAACCACGTATGGAACAGAGATGCAACTTTGAAGCTTCCGGCCTGGGGTGCCAAAGGGCCAGATGTGGCAGGTGGAATTATAGCGGCTCCCTCTCAGCATCTGGAATGTATAAATCTGTCCTACAGAAAATTAAGAGGTGCACAAGAAGGTGGTGAGAATGACCAGTTGAAAAATATACTTTTAAAGAAAAATTGCTTTGAAGAACATAGAACACGCTTTAGGGAAAAATAAAATAAAAATAGGTCTAGGTACAATATTGCTCTATTTATTCATGATCGTTTGAAAGGCTCTATATGTCTATATGTGGGTGAGTATTCTTAAAGTTCCAACATAGCAAAATTCCTGAGATTTCCTCCCTGAACTTGGTGGAGTGGGGCACATAGGAAGAAGCTCAAGGTAAAAGCCTATTATTGTGTGTATGTGTGTGTATATATGTATATATGAAAAAAAAAGGATGCTGTTTGGGGCCAGTACCGTCTGTTCATGGTGAGGACCCCAATTCAGTCTCTCTCCACGTCTGAAGAAGGTTTATTGTGTAGATTGTGGCTCTCTTCCCTAGGACTTCCTTCTTCTGGTCAGAGAATTATGATTGCTTATATTACCAAAAGACATGTAAACTATGTAAAAGAGGTGTCACAAATATGAGCAATTTCATAATGACAATATGCAGCAGTACAATTACTGCTGACTACTAGGCATTAATGTAGGTTACTGAATCATGTGGCTTGAAGGGACCTTAGGGATGATCCAGTCAACCTTGTCATATTATAGAAGCTGCAACTGAAGAAAAGCAAGGACGATGATTTGTGTGAGGAAGGTCCAGCTATGGCAGAATCAGGGGTGTCAGCTCCCAGATTAGGCTCTGGCGGTCTCCCCAACCTTTCCTGACCCAGAGATCTTCACTACTGCCTCCACCCATTGGGAAGTGAAATGGAGATGGCCCGTGGTGTCTTCAGCTCCAAGAAAGGTCTCTTTTCTAGCTTGTAGTGGCTGTCTATACTTTCCCTTTTTGAAGGAGAGCAGATGAGAAAGGGTCTTCAACTTGGGTGTTGTAGAAAGGTCTGGGAAGATCCTGTGGGAGGTGACACAGCCTCATGGTATCTGTAGTCCTTAGGGAAGATTCTAAAAGCAGAGAACCATCAGTCGAATAACTCAATAACACACACGAAAGCTGTCATCTCCCTTGTACTGAGTGAAGATGGTGGATGGGGGACAGATGAGCCCTCCAGCTGGTGATTTATATACTGAGACTATAATCTTACTCAATTCTGTTCTGAGGCAGACACTCAGAAGCCGATGCTGGTATTCTTCAAGCTCTCTTAGCCTTGATCTCACACAACAGGTGAAACCGTGCTTGTTTGCAGATTAGAAAACAGAGATTCTGGGAATTTAAATGATTTGCCCAAAGGTAGGGTGCACGTCCAGGTAATCCAGGTAATCTGACTTCCAGATTTGTGCATTGCAAGCCTGTGCAGCTGCCCCTGCCTCTGTGTAATGAAGATGTTGGGGGCTCACCAGGATGGTGCTTCCTCTAGGAAAGACTTGGTGCACACCGAGTGGGTTAAGAACAGGGCCCTGCATCTGCAAAGGATGAATCAGGCTAAAGAATAGATTAATGGGGTGGGTGGGCCCTGATATGGTGGCAATTAGTGGGGGACACTTGCAGACAGGTTGAGAGATTTAGATTAATTCTGATAGAGAGAGACTGCTATAGAGTCTTGCCTGTCAGGTGACAATGTCATGGATGTGATGGCACTCAAGGAAGATGATTCTCTCAGATAACAACAGCAACATCATCCACAATAACATCAACATCCTTCCTGTGCCTGATCTCTGGGGCTTCCAAATGTTGCCTGTCACTGTGAGAAAGATAAAAAGCTGTCTCTGCTGGAATCTGGCCAGCTAATCTCAGAGCTCCAGGACAAGGAGCAGTCCAGATGTGTCCTAGCAAGAAAACACTACGTGTTTGGATAAAGGCTTGTTCA